TTCTCTCTGGTTCAACTGTGTCACTCCATGGATACCAACTTTTTTCCGTTTATTTTTCTATGGAATGCTATTTTTGTAGACTGTTTTCTGCTGTGCTTTTAAATTATATTCGGAACAGTATTAATCATGGAAAGTATGTGATACATATTTTTTAAATTATTTTNTTATTTGTTATAAAAATGTAATAATAAGTATTGACATAACTATTCTCTCGTGTTTTAATAGATCTCGTGTCACTTGATGTCCTTAAAATATTCATCTTCTACAATTCTGCAATATATTTATATTTCAGCATGCAATTAAAAAATATCAATTTTACTAATGATTAAATAATAATTTTATTACCTAATTATTGAAGCAGATGGTTTTACATGCAAACATTGCAATGCATATAATGCAATATTAGACACAGCACCCTTACATGAATGTTTCATAAACAAAAATATATATATGGATAATAACAATGTTTTATTTACAAACGACAATGTAGATGTTAATGACAAATGTAAGTTCATTTATTTACACATCAGTATAATTTATTCAGTATAAAAGCCATTTTCTAATCTAATTTCAACTTCTACCCACACAGACATCCATCCATCCAGACGCTATCTTACACTATTCATTTATTATTTCTTCAAAATATTATTTTATTAAAAATATTGTAGTGCAATGTACCTGCAATGAGTAAAAATATTTATCTCTCTTATTACTATTAAATATGATTTAAAGTACATTTTTACAACGCAACCAAATTTTAACACTGTGTCTCAAATAATCCTACATTTAAATCAAATATAGTCTGTTACATTTATGTTAAAAATTGATTTTTTCATTAAATAATGGTTTATTTAATGAAGAAAAAACCTAATGAGAGAAACATTATTTCGTTGAGATAAATTATTTCAAGCACTTATATTATTTTCTTCATATTATGATTTAGTATAACGTAACAATACAAAGTATCATTCAACAAAATTGTTGTTTGGTATAAAATTATGTTATTTGAATGCAACAAATATGAGTCAAACAAATCGAATTATTAAATTTAAAGAAACCGTTCTCTCTTTGTGTATAAACTTGTAAGCGTTTGTAAGTGTTTAATAATTGTTAATCTGGACTTCAATTCTTAAATTTATACNAAAATTTTTTGTATGCAAAAGTGTCACT